GGTGGAAGCCTCGCTCTCGCCCAGTCCTGATGCTGAGCAACCAAACCTGCCAACTCAGGGAATCGGCATTCAGAGCCCACTTGGCGAGAGACAGAGGCACGCACATGATGTCCACTGTCCGTACTAAAGCTGGCATTTTGCTCTCCCCCCGCCCCAGTCAACTCTTAACATCACCTTCAAGTGAAATTTGAACGTGGGTAAGCAAGTCTTAGTAACCGGATTCTCAGTACCATTTCCAACCCTACCTTATGGCCGCCTCCCATCGCCAAATCCAGCAGAGAAGACGCACGAAAGCAGATACCAGACACAAAAGCCTGCTTAAGCCCACGACATACGGACAGCACAGGAGGGCAGGGCGTACGGGCAGCATGCACACACCACATCCACAGCTGGGTGCACCCATGCCAACAGCCATGCCGCCATCACCACCTACCCCACAACCCCACTCAACCCGGGCCCACTCTGGAGACAGGGACGAGTAGTGCACTTCCCCCTCCAACGACCACCCTGACCTCCACCGTGTCAGCCCCCTCCAGGTCTCCAGGAGCCGGGGTGACCTCTCACTCCCTCCCACTGGGCATCAGTACTCGGTGGCTGTGGTCTCGGGAGCCGGGGTGACCTCTCACTCCCTCCCACCGGGCATCAGTACTCGGTGGCTGTGGTCTCGGGAGCCAGGGGTGACCTCTCACTCCCTCCCACTGGGCATCAGTACTCGGTGGCTGTGGTCTCGGGAGCCAGGGGTGACCTCTCACTCCCTCCCACCGGGCATCAGTACTCGGTGGCTGTGGTCTCGGGAGCCAGGGGTGACCTCTCACTCCCTCCCACTGGGCATCAGTACTCGGTGGCTGTGGTCTCTGGAGGTGGAGGGTTCTTTTCCTCACCAGGATGGGAGTATTTAAACATTTAATCAACAGGTTTGACCATACAGCTATGGACCAACTTGAAATCAGCCCTGTATACTAACAAGGAATCATAAATCTATGTTGAAACATCTCTGTATCAGATCAATCTCTCAGTTGTTCATTTGTATGATTAACAAAAAGTTAGCTGTTAAAAAGACTTAACGCATTGGGGCCGGCACCACGGCTCACTTGGTTAATCCTCGGCCTGCGGCGCCAGCATCCTATATGGATGCTGGATTCTAGTCCCGGTTGCTCCTCTTCCAGTCCAGCTCTCTGCTGTGGCCCGGGAGGGCAGGGGAGGATGGCCCAAGTGTTTGGGCCCCTGCGGCCGCATGGGAGACCAGGAAGAAGCACCTGGCTTCTGGCTTCAGATTGGCACAGCGTCAGGCCACAGCAGCCATTTGGAGAGTGAACCAATGGAAGGAAGACCTTTCTCTCTGTCTCTCTCTCTCACTGTCTACAACTCTACCTCTCAAATAAAAATAAATAAATAAAATTTTAAAAAAATTAACACATACACAAATGCACTCATATTTATATTTTTTTAAGATTTCTTTATTTATTTGAAAGTCAGAGTTATACAGAGAGAGGAGAGGCAGAGAAAGAGAGAGAGAGGTCCTTCATCCAATGGTTCACTCCCCAGATGGCCGCAATGGCCGGAGCTGCGCTGATCCGAAGCCAGGAGCTTCTTCACGGTCTCCCACGTGGGTGCAGGGGCCCCAGGACTTGGGCCATCTTCTACTGCTTTCCCAGGCCATAGCAGAGAGCTGGATCAGGAATGGGGTGGCCAGGACTCAAACCGGCATCCATATGGGATGCCGGCACTGCAGGCGGCGGCTTTACCCACTACGCCACAGCGCCGGCCCCTACTTCTTTAATTTTTTAAAACTGTCTGTATGGCATATGATGTCAACTACTGCTTTGAATGAATGCTGATAACCGAACCCTGGATTTGATACAGAACCTATAGCTGCCCCTGACAAAGAAATTTTCTGGACAGTATTGGAAAATAAAAGCCTGGTGCCAGCGCTGTGGTATAGCGGGTAAAGCTGCCCCTACAGTGCTGGCATTCCCATATGCACGCCGTTTCAAGCCCCAGCTGCTCCGCTTCTGATCCCAAAAAAAGAAAAGAAGAAGAAAGAGAAATAAAACAAAAACCTGATTGAAGTGGAATCCAGGAAAAACTGGAGAGGTGGACACTTGGCCCAGCAATTAACACACCAGTCAGGAGGCCCGCAGCCCACTTCGGAGTACCTGGGTTCAAGACCCAGCTCCGGCTCCTGATTCCAGCTCCCTGCTAACGCAGACCCGAGGAGACAGCACTGATGGCTCAGGAAGCTGGGACCCTGCCTCGCACAGCAAAGTCATGGCTCAGCCCTGGCTCCCACCTTCCATCCTGGTCCAGCCCTAGCCGCTGCCGGCAAGTAACCCGTGAATGGGAGCTCTGTCTGCCTCTCAAATGCCCATTTAAAATGTTCCTTACCCAGAAAAAGTGTAGTAAATGTTAACACTGAAAGTATGGACAAGTCTTTTAAAATTGATATAAAACGAAGAAAAACAGAAGTGAGGTTGGAGGACACCGGGAGTCCAAAACGAGATTTCGCACAGTCTGAAGTCAACGGTGTGAAGCTAAGGACAAAGCGGCATCTAAGAGAGAAGGCCGGCGATGGACGCGGGAAAGGCAAGGACGCAGCCTGCTCCGGTGAGCCCGCTGCTGTCATCAGCCGCAAGGACAGCACTTCCCTTTCTTACACGAAGGAAGGAGACGGCACTGTGTCTGCACACACAGAGCCCGGGGACTGGGCGAGGGGAGGGGACACGAAGGAAGGAGGCGGCACTGTGTCTGCACACACAGAGCCCGGGGACTGGGCGAGGGGACACGGACATGAACGAAGGAGACAGCACTGTGTCTGCACACACAGAGCCCGGGGACTGGGCGAGGGGACACGGACACGAAGGAAGGAGACAGCACTGTGTCTGCACACACAGAGCCCGGGGACTGGGCGAGGGGAGGGGACACGAAGGAAGGAGGCGGCACTGTGTCTGCACACACAGAGCCCGGGGACTGGGCGAGGGGACACGGACACGAAGGAAGGAGACGGCACTGTGTCTGCACACACAGAGCCCGGGGACTGGGCGAGGGGACACGGACACGAAGGAAGGAGACAGCACTGTGTCTGCACACACAGAGCCCGGGGACTGGGCGAGGGGAGGGGACACGAAGGAAGGAGACGGCACTGTGTCTGCACACACAGAGCCCGGGGACTGGGTGAGGGGACATCGACACGAAGGAAGGAGACGGCACTGTGTCTGCACACACAGAGCCCGGGGACTGGGCGAGGGGAGGGGACACGAAGGAAGGAGACAGCACTGTGTCTGCACACACAGAGCCCGGGGACTGGGCGAGGGAACACGGACACGAAGGAAGGAGACGGCACTGTGTCTGCACACACAGAGCCCGGGGACTGGGCGAGGGGACATGGACATGAAGGAAGGAGGCGGCACTGTGTCTGCACACAGAGCCCGGGGACTGGGCGAGGGGAGGGGACACGAAGGAAGGAGACAGCACTGTGTCTGCACACACAGAGCCCGGGGACTGGGCGAGGGGACACGGACACGAAGGAAGGAGACGGCACTGTGTCTGCACACACAGAGCCCGGGGACTGGGCGAGGGGACATGGACACGAAGGAAGGAGGCGGCACTGTGTCTGCACACACAGAGCTCGGGGACTGGGCGAGGGGACACGGACACGAAGGAAGGAGGCGGCATTGTGTCTGCACACACAGAGCCCAGGGACTGGGCGAGGGGAGGGGACACGAAGGAAGGAGACAGCACTGTGTCTGCACACACAGAGCCCAGGGACTGGGCGAGGGGAGGGGACACGAAGGAAGGAGGCGGCACTGTGTCTGCACTCACAGAGGCCAGGGACTGGGCGAGGGGAGGGGACACGAAGGAAGGAGATGGCACTGTGTCTGCACACACAGAGCCCGGGGACTGGGCGAGGGGACACGGACACGAAGGAAGGAAGGGTCTTCCAGGCACAAACTTACACTTCTGTATTTATGACCTGCAATCAATTGTTAAAGTAAAAAACCTCTGACCTACTAAGGAGACGCTTACCAAGGCCGCTTCCCGACCCTGCCCTGCCCCTGCCTTGGACACTCAGCACCTCCTACAGCACTGCACTCACCTGATCACAGAACTATAAACCTGGCCTTTGAAAACAAACGCACTGGTCAAGTACCAGAGAGTATTCTTGCTTCTCCTGTTTGAAGGGTTACATGTGTATATAGATAATCAGCACATCCCACGACCTGAGATTATCCAATTTCCAAAATGAGAACTCAGAATAAACCAATGAACATCAGGACGTTTTCTACGATTTCATCGCATTGCCGGGGAGAGCTAAGGTTCACTCTCACTTTTTCACATTGCATTCAAGAAACCCAAACCCCAGCTGCACGCTAAGTTCATGTCTTCCTGTGCAGGCGTTGTCCCTCCAGGCGTCATCCGTCACCATCTCCCAGGACAGACGGCAGTGCTGAGGTGCAGCGGTTAAGCCACTGCTTGTGACGCCGGCACACCACACAGCCCTCGCTACCTCCCTTCCAATGCGGCCTCCTTCCAAAGTGCCCGGGAAGCCAGTGGAGGATGGTGCAGGTGCCTGGGCTCCCGCCACCTACGTCGGAGACCTGGATGGGGCTCCAGGCTCCCGGCTTCGGCCTGACCCAGCCCTGGCTGCTGCAGCCATTTGGGGAGTGAACCAGCAGATGGAAGCTCTCTCTACTCTGACTCGTCCTGTCTGTGTGTTGCTCTTTCAAATAAATAAATCTGTACAGCGAACAAACGAACAAAACCCTTGCCGCAGATGAGAGTCCCCGATGAACCTTCCCAAAAGGTTCCTGGGTGAACAAGTCTCCTCCAATGCAAAAAAAAAATTCCATTTTTCCAATCTCTTGGACTGTACGCAGTTGTTGAACAAGCCAATATCCCTTGAGGACACACCTACCTATTACAGCTCATAACCAGCTGCGTGCTATTGGCTAACGTGCCAGTCCATCAGGGTCACCCAGCACGCCCCCGGCAGTCCCCCTTACCTGTGAGGTCCAGCGTCCGATCCACGAAGACCACCGACGCCCTGCCCGGGGCAGTCTTCCTCCTGTTCTTGGCAGGGGCATAGTTCGCCAGATCTGCAGCAAGGACTCGGCTGAGGGTGCCCACGGCGAAACACTCCTCCCGAACTCCCAGATGCTCACACAGGGAACTGAGCCCGGACACCAGGCACCTGATCTGCAGCTGCAGCTCCGGCGTCAGGGCAGCGGCGTCCACCTCGGCCAGGCTCCCCAGTCTCCTCTTGTCCGGGCGGGCGCTGTTGAGGACCCGCACATCCCCGGGCAGCAGAGGGAACAGAGACGCAAAGGCCGGCGTCAGGGCCAGGTGCGCGGCCGCGGGGGCGAGCAGCAGCGGCACGTGCAGCACCTCGGCCGTGTAGTTCAGGTTGCCCATCCACTCGCACAGCTTCTCCTCCAGCTGGTCGAACACCGGCCGCTGCCCCTCCAGCTCGGCGGCTGCCGCGGCGGGCACGTGGTTCGCCGTGAGGTGGACGGCGTGGCTCACGGCCGTGACCACCACACAGTACTGGAAGTGGCTGCGGCGCACGATGTCCCGCAGGGTGTCCACAGTCCGGCCTTTCAGCAGGCCGCTCAGCACAAACACCGCCTTGGGCTGCGCGGCCCCGCCGCCGGCCGCGTCCCGCTCGAACTCGCGCAGGTGGCACGCAGGGGCCCCCACGGCGTCCAGGAGCCGCGCGGCTCCGCAGCCCCAGTGCAAGCTCTCGGCGCAGGCGGCGTCCAGGTACACCACAGCCCGTCTCACTTTGGCCAGCACCTGCTCCCAGCCCTGCTGGGTAAAGGACAGCACGCCCGGGGCACTCATGGCTGGGAGTCAGCCGGCTCGGCCGGACTCAGGTGCGGGAACCTCTCTCGGAACTCACCGCTTCCGCAAACCGGAGACTGACAGTCAACACCGTACACGTGGTCCTGCCTGAGACCCGCCCTGCGGCGCGCGGTGATGACGCAGAGAGCGCTGATTGGCTATCGAGGAGGCGCGCTCGAGGAAGGATCCTCCTCACGCAGAAGTGGGCGTGTCCCCCGGATCGGCTCCCGCGGAGGTGCGGGGAGGTGGGAGGGCGCTGCCGGGGAGCGAGCTTGTGGTCCGCCCCCTGTGTGCTCCGATGACCTGTTCTTGCCTCCCGAGAAATCTGAAGAATAAACCCTAATCGGAAGTCCGAGTCTTCCTTTTCTCATCCCAGTTCGGAGCCCTGGCGGCCGGATGCCGCGTCGGCGCGCTCGGGCCTCCCGTGCGGTGCTCCCCGCCTCCCCGTCCTGGTCTCGCTGACCCTGACCCTGGTCTGGGGCTGCACGACGCCGATCCCCGCTCCCCTCTCCGTCCCGGCCCTCGCCGACCCACCGCCGTCAGCCGCCGCCGGCACTCCCCGCCGGTTCGGTTTGCCCCCAGGACACCGAGCTGGTGTCCCTGCCTACGGGACACGTCCAGACGTGTCTAAAGGCCCCCAGTCCAACCTGACTCAGTGCGTGCCTGCACCGGGCACCGCGAAGCCCCTGGTGTTTCCTGGGCTCAGAGTGTTCAAGCAATACCCGTTAACTACTCACTCAGCACGGAGGCAATGGTTAATGACAGGCAGTGCTCAGCCACAGGTAATTTACACCTGGTAAGCTCTCGCTCCCCAGAAACAATCACCCCAAGCCTCTCCCCTCTGCCCTCCCCTCTTCCCCAGTTTGCAGCACCCAGCTGAAGCTTGGCTCCGTACTTGCCCTATCCTAGGGTAAGCTTTCCTTTGGAGATGCATTACATGTATTTGAAAGTCACCGTTACCGAAGTGGGGGGCTTCACTCTCCAGATGGCTGTAATGGCTGGGGCAGGGCCAGGAGACAAGAGCTCCATCCTGGTCTCCCACGTGAATGGCAGGGCCAAAGCACTTGGGCCATCTTCTGCTGCTTTCCCAGGCGCGTTAGCAGGGAGCTGGATGAGAAGTAGAGCAGCCTATGGGATGCTGGCCTCACTGGTTGTGCTGTGCCCCCAGCATCCCCCTGGGGTGAATTTTAACAAACCGATTTTCCTTAGTGCATCTGCTTTTTCTAGATTGTGCACTAGAGGCCTTGTATCCCCAGCACCCAGGACATAACAAGTATTGAATAAGTGTTTGTTGAATAAATGTTCGATTGATATCCAAATAAATAATGAGTTCAACCAATGTTTTAATAAACATGCACAGTTTTCCAGGCACTGCTTTGGACACTGAGGCTATAAAAAGAAATCAGCCACAGTCCTGACTCCAGAATAATTATAAGGAACAGGACCCACACATGTGAAACAAAGAGCACAGTAACATGTTACAGATGTACTGAAAAATACATGACAAAGGATGAAAAAGTAAAATCTGAATGAGGGAAGAAAATAGGGAAGTGGTCAAAAGTTCCGTGTAAGACACAAGTTTGAGCGGCTTTCCCAGAAGGGCAGGTGTTCACCAGGTGGACAGGATGGCAGGGCAGCCCAGCAGATTCTGCACCAAGAACAAAGACGCGGAGGCCTGACGTGCACGCGTGCTCTCTGCAAGCACAGACAGCTCACTACAGCTGGGCTGTACTGCGAGACGAGAAGCCCAACCAGCAGGCAAGAAAGCACCGAACTAAATCGGGAAGAGCGGTATTTTCCATTCTAAATACAGCAGCCAGTGGAGAACTAGCAAAGTGTCTTTTTAAGTGCGGGAATCATTTGTTCACATCTGCCTTTCAGGAAAAAAGAATCTAAGGGAGATACGGAAAACAATCTGAAACAGAGCAAGAGGCAGGCCAGAGGGAGCCGTTAGGAGACAGCAGCGGCAGCTCTGGGTGACGGCTGAGAGGCACAGTCAGGAGATGGATGCGGCCTGAGTCCACAGAGACGCTGGGAAGACAGCGCCAAAGGTGTTTTGGCACAAAGAGTGAGGCACACGGAGAATTTCAGTTAATACCCAGCCTTCTGTCTGATGAATGGTAAATGGTGTCACCTGGGATTTGGAAAGCCAGAGGAGACGCGGATTGGGGAACACACAAACTGAATTCAGTTGGCACGTGCTTAGCCGTGACAAAAACAGACACGCAGTTGAGGGTCTGAAGTCTGTGGGCGAGTGGCACTCAGCGCATCGCATTGCTGTGCAGCGACCTGCAGACCGTTTCCTCTTGCAGAGCTGAAACTCTGCAAACTCCGCACTGAACTAAACTGCCCACCCCACCCCCAGCTGCTGGCAGGCTGCCTCCTGCTTTCTGTTTCTATGCGCCGACTGCCACAGATTCTTCACCTGAGTGGCAGCACAGGACGTTTTCCGTTGTGATTGGCGTTTCACCTAGCGCGGCATCCTTCAGGTTCTAGGCTGTAGCCTGTGTCAGAATTCCCTTCCTCTTTAAGGCTGAGTAGTACTCCGTCCTACGCATCTACACTTTTGTTTATCCGTTGAGCTGTCAATGGACGTTTGAATGGGTTTTGTCTGTTATGAATAATAGTGCCCTGAACATGGGTGGAAAATATCTTTAAAATTTTTTTATTTATTTGAAAGGCAGAGAGAAAGAGAGAGAGAGAGAGAGATCTTCTATCTGCTGGCTCACTCCCCAATGCCTGCAGCTGCCAGGCTGGGCCAGGCCAAAGCCAAGAGCCAGGAACGCAGCCCAGGTCTCCCACGTGGGTGGCAGGGACCCACGCACTGAGCCCTCACTGCTGCCTCCCGAGGGCATCAGTGAGAAGCTAGATTCAGAAGCAGAACCAGGACCTGACCCCAGGCACCCTGGTGTGGGATGCAGGTGTCCCCCACAGCATCTTAAACACGGCGCCATGGGATCTTCGAGATCTCACTTTCAATCTTTTTGTGTATATATATCAAGAAGTAGAACTACTGCATCATTTGATAATTCCATTTTTTAAGAAATGCATACATTTCCATACAGCATGCACTGTTTTATATTTCCACCAATAATACACAAGAATTCCAGTTTCTCTGTATCCCTACCAACATTTGATAGTTTCTGATTATTCCTTTTTTAAATACATATTTTATTTATTTAAAAGACAGAGTTACAGAGGGAGAGAGAGAGAGATATAGATTGAGGTCTTCCACCTGCTGGTTCACTCCCCAAATGGCTATAATGGCTGGTGCTGAGGCAGGCTGAAGTCAGTAGCCAGAAGCTTCTACCAGGCTCCCACATGGATTCAGGAGTCAAAGCATTGGGCCATCTTCTTCTGCTTTCCCAGGTGCATTAGCAAGGAGCTGAATCAGAAATGGAGCAGCCAACACTGGAACCAGTGCCCTGTGGGATGCCAGCACTGCAGGAGGCAGCTTAATGGGCTGTGCCACAACGCTGGCCCCATTCATTTATTTTTTGATAGTAACCGTCCTTAGGTGTAGAATCCTGTCGTTTTTAACATATTTGTGGGATTTCTGAGTTGAAATATCTAGTGGGCTATTGGATGTATGATTCTAGAATGCAGGAGAGAAGTCTGATAATTTGGGAATTATTAGTAAATGAGTGTGTGTGAGGTATGAAGGGCAGAAGAGGAAAGAGAATAATCAAGCATGATCTTTTGGTTTGGGTTTGAACAGCTGGTGGCTACACAGTGGTGACTCAGAGAGGAACCCTGGCGGAGTACGAGAGTGGGACAGGACAGGTTGGGGGGGGGGAGCCATTGATTCAGCCCTGGGTACAAAGTTTGAAGCACCTGTTAAATGCCCAGGAGAGGCATCCAGGGGAGCCTCATAGTGATGCTGAATAGCATGACCTCAAGGAGAAGTTAAGACTGCAGAAAGAAATGTAGGAGTTACTGGCTCCCAATGACACAGGTGGTATTAAAAGTCACAGAACTGGGGCCAGCGCTGTGGTGTAGCAGGATGCCGCCGCCTGCAGTGCTGGCATCCCATATGGGCACTGGTTTGAGTCCCAGCTGTTCCACTTCCTATCCAGCTCTCTGCCATGGCTTGGAAAAGCAGTAGAAGATGGCCCAAGTCCTTACGCCCCTGCACCTGCATGGGAGACCCAGAAGAAGCTCCTGGCTTCTGGCTTTGGATCAGCACAGCTCTAGCCATCTGGGGAGTCAACCAGCAGATGAAAGACCTCTCTCTCTCTCTCTCTCTCTGCCTTTCGTTCTCTCTGTGTATAACTCTGACTTTCAAATAAATAAATCTAAAAAAAAAAGTCACAGAACCAAATGAAACGAGTTTGTGAGAGTGGGTACACAGAAAAGGGAGTCCAAGAAAATTTTCTTTTGATTTTTTAAAAAAGATGTATTTTACTTATTGAAAGGGAGTGTGACAGAGAGATAGTGGGAGAGAAGAAGGAGGAGAGGGAAATGAAGAGAGAAGGAGAAAGAGGGAGAGAGAGGGAGAGAGAAGAGAGAGGGAGAGGGAGAGGGAGAGAGAGAATCTTTTATCTCCTGGTTGACTCCCCAAATTGCCACAACAGCCAGGGCTTGGCTAGGCTGAAGCCAGGAGCCAGAATCTCCATCTAGGTCTCCCACATGGGTGGCCGAGACCCAAATACTTAGAACATCTTCTGCTGCTTTCCCAGGTGCATTAACAGTGAGCTGGATTGGAAGTGTAACAGCCAGGACTCCAACCGGTGCCCATATGGGATGCTGGCATCGTAAACAGCAGCCTAACCCCCTGCACCTCAGTACTGGGCCCAGAAAATATCCTTTCTTGATGCTGAATATCATGGTGGAGTAAAATGAATTGCTGCTCTAATAATCTGCTTAATAGCATCTCATTTGTCTTGCCAAATGTTGATTTGTATTCCTTTGCTTCAAAGTAGCCAGCAATTATGTTCCATTCCCCATAAAACCAAGCATATCTCCCATGATCTCATGCACTTGATCAGGGCACGGCTTAGGATTTACTGAGCACTTCCCATGTGCAGGACATGGTGAGAGAGGATCTGGTGAACAGAGCGCTGGAAAGACTTTGTTCTCACACTTGCAGTGTACGCAGCGTTCACATAACACTGTAGACACAGGAGGAGGAGGAGGAAGTGGAGCAAGAAAAAATACAGTGTAGACATATATAGGAGATGGTAGAATTTTCCAGAAACAGCTTGCAATATAAAAATGTAGTGTTAAAGGACATCAAGATGCAGGGGAGGATGGCTGAGGGGGCCTGAATTCATCAGGACGTACCCAGAGAGAAAGGAAAGCATGAGACGTGTGCGATTATTCTGGCTGCTCAAAGGAGAGACACAACATCTGCTGGCCTCTAACTTCTCAGATCCTTTGACATTTGAAAACTTCACTTTAGCTTTGCCATCCTTCTAAAACATGGAAATAAGTGTTATTACACCGACTTACTGGTGAGGAAACTGAAGAACATTTAAAATGGGCAGCAATGCACATGGTTGGGACTAAAGGCCATATCCTCATGCAAAAGTGTCACCAGTGGCAGCAGGTTTGTGTCGATTATTTTTCACCAGTGGAATAAGAGTTACAGTTCAGAGGGATGAAAGTAGGGCTGGTAAGACAAAGTTTATTAAAGTGTGTTCCAAGGAAGGAAGGGGCCAGTGAGAGAGGGTGTGGCAGCCTTTCTTCCTGGTCTGGGGCTGGTATCCCTGAAGTATGAGGGGCGTTGACTGGTAACGTGGCCATGATGCTCAGGACTGGCATTTGTGATTAACATCTGGGAGCTGCACCTGTGCTATGAACTGGACTTTTCTGGTTTGTCTGAGCTCCCATGACACTCTCACCACAAGTTAAGCCTCAAAGAGGGCAGTCTTTGGTGGGTCCCCGTGGAGAGAAGGGTCTTTGGCTTCATGCCTGGGAGAGTCTTGCGCCCTCTTGCTATCTGAGGAACGCTCTACTCTTGTCATCATTTGAATCATCATCTCCCAAGCACTCCCTTTCGGTACTTCTCAGACATACCTGACAACAGATGATCATGGTTGCCAAAACAGTCCACAAGGAACAGTAAAATGAAAAGCTATAATCAGAATACACGTAAGACTGTCCTTTGATGAGGCCGTAATGTAAGAGGTGGGAGGAGACGCACACAGTGTCTTCAAGCCACCCCGCTGTGAAGGTTTCCCTCAGAGCATGGAAAGAAAGGCACCTGTCAGGAGGGGAGCATCCAGGCAAGGAACTCAGTTTGGCAGCAAGCGAGGAGGGAGCCTTCTCAGGGGAGTTATTAATGCTTTATGGGCTTCTCTGCTTGTAGAAATCCTTTTTCAAAGCTTAGCTCAAATGCTACCTCCACCAACAAGGCAATTCTGAGGCCCTAATTATTATCAATGCTTCCTTTCAGTTTAAGCAACACCTTGAAAGGCAACTCCCTTTAGGGAGCTAGGAGGAGATGGAAACCCCTTAGCAAAAGATAACTGGTTCTCCCATGAATCTACCTGAGCTCATTATAGACTCATGAAGTAAGAAATAGAGATAGATATGGGCTGGGAGCTATTCCCTTGGGTCACTCCAAGCAAGACATGAAATCCTCACTCAATCATTTTCCACAAAGGCGAGAAGGTCTATTCATTGTTATGCACCACATAAAGAATGGAAGGGCCAGATAAACAAGACGCTTTATTTGTGGCTGGATTGAAGAATCGAGTAAAGAGTTTCAGAAAAACTCACGTAATTCCTATCTAATTTGATAGACACACGCCATAGAGGCAGCATCAGGCCCAGAAGGGAGTGAGAGTTTTGTCTTCCTTAACCCTGCCTCCATAACTCTGGTCTCATTTACATTCTGTTTCTTGCTCACTGTCCTTCAACTACATTTTGGGTTCCTTGCACATGCCAAGCGTGCCTCTGCCTCTGGGCCTTTGCACTTGCTAACCCCTCTGTATGATAGATTATTCACCCACAAATCTGCAGGGCTTACTTCCTTTCTCCATTGAGATCTCTATCCCACCTCATTAGAGTGGCTTTGTCTGACCCTGACACTCAATCCCTCTTCATCACTTTGCTCTGGGTCCCCTTATATCGCAAGTTCTTCTTCTTAATCCTGAGCAAAACAACACATCAATGACATTTGTTGCCTTGGCTCCTCGGAGGAAGGACTTTGTTTTAGCCTATGCTGAATCTATGGAGCCTACAAGAGTTCCTGGCACTTGCTAGACCTTCCATAAATATTTATGGACTAAGTGAATAAGTGGGAGGATATGAAGTGGGTTTCAGAAAAGCGATCATACTTCAACAGCATTTAGAAGTACACAAGCGAGTCTCCTAAACAGGTGAGAGAGCTGAGAACAACAGGTGGAGGTGTGTTCAGATTAAGGAGGATGATATTAATGCCATGATGTTCTGTGGTGCTGCTAAGGTGCAAGCGTTTCATCTGTGCATCTGTTATCATGCAACCACCTTTTCTCTTGTAGGCTAGTTAGTTGTGTACTACCCTTCTGTCTTTCTCAGTGAGCTGAGAGCTCTTATTTAAGGCCTGGGACTATGTTTTACTCATGCCTCTAGTTCCCACTTTTTCAAACAAAGCAGGTATTCAATGATTGCTAAATAAGCAAAGGCACAAAAACCCATTGGTGGATTTGTGCATTCAAAATGGGCTTTTACATAGAAATTCTTGAGCCTGTATTTATTGTGAAAGGCAGAGTGGTGGGGGGCAGAGAAGACAAAGATCTTCCTTCTGGTGGTTTCTTCCCCCAAATGTCTGCAGCAGCCAAGGCTGAGTAAGGCAGAAGCCAAAAACCAGAGGCCAGGAACTCTGCCTGTGTCTCCCTTGTGGGTGGCAGGAACTATCACCCACTTCCTTCCAGGTACACTATCATGATGCTGGATGGAAGCAGAGTGGTCAGCGCTTGAACTTAGCCTCTAACATGGGACTGGGCACTCCCAGCAGCTCCTTAACCCACCGTGCTGCATGGCCACCATTAAAGTGATTTTTTTCTTTCTTTCTTTCTTTTTTTTTTTTTAGCAAGTGAACATCCCATTTCAAACCTTTACAACTAAAAGGGACCTTGGGGATTACCTAATTCAGCTTCTCATTTTTTACTTGAGAAAAACTAAAGTGCAGAAAGGTTGATTTCTCAAACTCACACGATGAGGTGGCATAAACAAGTGGGAAGATGAAATGAAACACCATCGAGACCTAGAACTCCAGTTCTAACCCGCACTGGGGCATCTTTCCCTTGGGAGATGTGTTCTTGAAAGCAGCCTGGAAACTTAGCATTAGCTGTTAAAACAGCACTGCACAGAGTTTACAGTCTTGGAGAAACACTCGGGCACATCTGCAGGAAGTCCCAAGGATCTTCACCGTAAGGTTCTGTTCACTTCTGGGTGACAGAGAAAAGGGGAAGATCAGCTGGTGAACGTCACATTCACTGTGTGATAGTCACGCTTTGGGACTGCACGCAGCATTGCTAAGCGGGCAGTTTGATCTCCAAGGCGCCATTGGGTTAATCAAACAAGAAAAACCCGGAAGCAGGATGACACATGAGCCCTGGGCCCTCGAAGGCTCATTTCCCTTAAGTTCTCCTTTGAAAACCATGCAACACAGGTAAAGCAAATGCGTGGAAAATTTCAGAAGGGTGCTCACAGCAGGTCCCAGTGCCCACTTCCAAAGAGGGTGGTGCAGCAGGTTCTCTCATGTGCACGTTGTTACTGTTTTTTTAAACAAGAAGAATGCATCATTCATGGATCACTTTTGCTTTTGATGGCTATTAAAATTAACTTCTCAAGACTATTAATCGTTAATTTCTGGAGGACGGATTATGATTTCTTTTGCAGAAGAGGACCGACAGGTAACTGCGCATTAAGGTTGATAAACAAAAACCTTTAAGATAAATCAAAGCTTTAGACAAAGCATCACAGACAGGAGAGAACAGGAAGTCTTCCTAGACGAAGGCAGGGCGGGGGAGGGGAGCCGCGCCGGCGCAGTGCGCCCGCCCGCCCGGAAGCCACGCCGGAAGACGGAGCGCGACGCCGTGGGGGAGGGCGGGGCCACGCGCAGCGCGCAGGCGCAGTCAGGCCGGGGGGGGGGCCGCGGCCGCGGAAGCGTAGCCATCTAGAGACGCCGCGCCGCTTGGACGCTGCTGCGCGTGCGCAGGCGGCCGGTGTTGAAGTCCTCGCCTTTGCCGCCTCCGCCGCTGCGGCCGTCTGTCCGGGATTGGCGTCTCGTGTTTCCTTGGCTCGCCCGCCGGCGGGTTCGCGCCCTTCTCGCGCCCCCGGGGCAGCGAGGCTGGGGCAGGGGTTGGCTGGGGGCTGTTGATTGGCGCCTTGAAGGGGCGGCCGGGCGGCCATGTCGGCCGGCGAGGTGGACCGCCTTGTGTCGGAACTGAGCGGCGGGACCGGAGGGGATGAGGAGGAGGAGTGGCTGTATGGCGGTACGGAACTTCCTGTCCCTTGTCCCTCGGCGGGGGTCCCTGGGGGCGGCCCGCCCGGCCCCGCGCGCCGGCCCCGCGGCCTGAGGGCCGCTCCGAGGCCGAGCGCGGCGGGCCTGGCGGCACCGGGCCCCGCGTCGCGCCGGCGGCCTGGCTGCGGGCCGCTGCGGCGTCCCAGGTGGGCCCTGCCGCCCCTCGGACACAGCCGTTGAGAAGTCTGGCTGAGTGAAGGCGATGCGGAGACACTGCCGTCTAACGTGGGCGCGATGCACCTGCCAGCGCGCCTCCCGGGCAGGGTCGTGCTTTTACAGTAGTCGACTCGGGGACCCAGGTTATGGCCCAGAAAGAAACCCCTGATGTCGCCCGTGCCAGGTGACGTTGTGGTTTTTTTCTAGGGACCCATTAACTCGCGTTGTAGAAGCACCGCGTGGCCCTTTTTGGCCTACCTTTCTCAGCGTTAATCTATTTTTCTCTAGTGCTTCTTGTGCTTGCTTCTTGCAAGGTGACTTGACATCGGGATTTTTTAACTTAAGTGGAGCCGCAGGGCCCCTTTCTGTTCCACGAGGTTTGCAAGTTCGTGGTGTTTGCTTTCCTAAAACGTGAATTCTTGATGGTTTCCAGCGTCGCATAGTGAAGGTGTCCGTTGGGCACCAAGCAGCCCCTCAGTGACGTAACTGGAATAAACGTCTTAAAAAAAATTCCTCCTCTGTCAAGGTGCGGCACTGTGAAGTTCTTTGCAACGTGAATGGGTAACTTTGTATCCGTGAGGTCTGAGGTCCCGTATAGGTGTGTCTTGTTGGGGGATTGTAAGGTGATCTAACTCTGCTGTGTTTGTAGGCCCGTGGGACGTGCACGTGCACAGTGACTTGGCAAAGGACCTAGGTTAGTGCTTGTGACCACTTCAGATTTGCATGAGACTGATTTCTGTAAGAGTGGGATCTTCACTTACTCGCTTATTTATTCTGTTTGGTAGATGAAAATGAAGTTGAAAGGCCAGAAGAAGAGAATACCAGGTTAGTGCAATTGCCTGTTGATCTTGCACACACGTTGTGTGAGTCCATCAACAAATTGTCAAAAGTTCTTCATCGGCATCCTGACAATGTTTGGAGGACGCTGAGTCTTTCAGACTTTCTTCCGAATTCAAGGCCTACCCTTAGACCAGTTCCATTTGGTAGCAGCTCAGAGGACGGTTTTTAAAGTTAGACTTTGACTAGGTTTTACTATTAAGTAACTACTCATCAGTGAGCTCAGTAGCAGAATGTACAGTGTAGTCATCAAACTAAGGAAGATATTTTAACCTCAAGACTTTTGAGGAACTCTGAAGGTTACTGCTTTTACAATCTATTAATATTTTTGATAGTCTAATGCACCTTGTTATGACCTCAGTGCTTTGTATTTAAGTTGAAAGTTAACATGTTATAAGATTGAGTCTGTCAAATTATCAGAGAGGTGTGGCATTTGTAGACATTTAAATTTCAAAACAACTCACGCAAACTCATGCTGACTTTACTCTGGCCGAATGCACTGGTGTTCTATAATGTAGGACAGGGTGGTAAAAATGGGAACTTTAAAGAATGTTTGTATTTAGAAAGTGGACAGCATCTCACTGAACAGCCTGAGGTGGCTGGAATCAGAGCTAAGACAGGTGTTGGTGACGCTGTGTCAAAACTGAAACCCCAGCCAGCACACTGCTGGTAGGCTTGTCAGAGGCGCAGCTGCTGCAGAGCATAGACTGGTAGTTTCATCCAGTGGTTAAACAAGTTACTGTATGACTCAGGCGTTCCACTCCTGGGTTTATACCTTAGAGAAATGAAAACACGTATCTGCTCAGAAAGTTGTCCGTGAATGATCATAGCCACATTATACATTAAAAAAAAAAACAAAACGGAAGCAGCCCAAGTGTTCGAGGACTGTTGAGTGACAGGTTAAGTGTGGAGCGTCTATGCAGCGGGATACTGTTGGGCCGTGAACAGGACAGTGAAGTACTGCAGCGCGTGGCAGCACGGATGCACCTGGAGAACATCACGCTAGGTGAAGGAGACCCATGGCAGAGGACAGCATGTATGTGACGTGTCCAGAATAGGCAGATCTAGAGCTAGTGGACTAGTGGCTGTCAGGGTTTTAGGGGAGGGTTGAACAGCAGTGACTGCCAGTACACCTGAGATTTCTTGTCGGGGCAGTGCAGATGTTTGGGAATCAGGTAGCTGCACTGTACTGAACCCACCAAACCGATGTAACTGTGTCCCTCCGTGGATGGGTTGGGTGGGAAGTGGAAACGGGAACAGCTGAGGAAGGGCTATGCTTTTCATTCGCTGCTGTATCAGATCTTTTCATTTAGTTCTGAGTTTTATGTTGTCACCTCAGCTCCTGACCCTGATCCCAACCACAAAATTGGGATTAGCATAGTTTATAGTTATGAAATTTGTTAAATATTCATACCCACTTCTTCAGTTGGAAAATAAGTAAATTGATTACAAGGTATAGATTCACAAATGCACTGTTTTATAGGTAATTTTCATCCCACAGGTTTTTATTGTTTTTGCTTTAGTTGGAGATTGTTTAAAATGCCACTATAGAGATTAAATTGATGTATATAGAAACTGTTTGATAGGAAGTTTAGAAGATATTTGCAGCAATGTAATTAAAAGAGCTCTGAACTTGTCAATATCTGGTCATTTTTCTTAGAAATGCTACTCAATATTTCTGAGACTAGGGCCAAATCCCTTTGTTGCTTTGTACTTTAGTTTTCCCATCTGTAAAGTAAGGCAATGGTTAACTCCCGCTGTCAAATCAGTAATTCGTGTTTAAAGTGTGAGAGGCTAGTTAGATTATGGTGCTGTGAAAGTGTTATTTGTTAGTTACGGGCTGTGCGCTGAAGTCTTAGGAGAATGGGATGTTTTATTGTTACGTATCAGTTTTACTGTGAAAGGACAAGTTCATGTGTTACCTGGTCTTTGAAAATAATCAGGTGTACAGTTCATCAGAAGAAAAACTTGAATTATAGCCCATCATCAAATTTCAGATCATTAAATTGTATTAAAATGTGAAGGCATTTCTGTTCTGCTTGTTTCATGTTTGGTATTAAGGATAATAGAGAATAAGATAGGCAGATTTTACCATCCAGTGGGGACAATAATTCTAGGAAACTTTAATAGATGTGCCTTAAATACTAGTACAATCAGTCCATCCCCCCTTTTTATTTCCCCAAAGAAACCTTTAATTTAAGGAATACAAATTTCATGGGTTTCATAAATACAAGTTTAGGAACATAGTGATGCTTCCCACCATGCCCACCCACATTCCCGCCCCTCTTTCTCCTCCCGCTCGTATTCCCAGTCTTCTTTTTTTTTGCTAAGATCTGTTTTTCAGTTGACTGTATTCTGTCTCTGAGTCGTGGTATCTGACATGTGCACTTATGTTACTGTTTGTAGTGCTAATCCTCCATCTGGGGTTGAAGATGAAGCTGCTGAAAATGGCGTACCAAAACCGGTAACATAGACCTCGAAGTCCCGTTCCTTTCCTGTTTAAAATCTTTGTAACTTCACAGTTCACTTAGAAAGAGTCAGTGTTTAACATCACTTTTAGTGTTGGACATTTACATCTGGTGCCATCGAAAGCACGTGTAGGAATTAGGTGGGAGAAGATAGAGGCGAGGACGTGGCATGTGCAAGGGCTTGATGTGTGTTGCTTCCGAAAAACTGGTCACCTGTCACCTAAATAGATCATACAGAGTTTGCTATTCAGAGCAAACATTGAGTCCCATAGCCTAAATTTCAGTGTAAAAGATTTTTAAAAATGTGCTTCCCTTTGGCTTGTTTTATTTTAACTTTCACTTGCTAGGCAGAAGAGATAGAACTTCTATCTGCTAATTAACTCCCCAGACTCCTGAGACTACCAGAGGCTGGGCTGGGACCAAAACTGGGAGCCAGGAACCAAATCCAGTTCTCCCACTTTGCTGTGCCAGGAACCCGATTACTTGGGCCATTTCCACAGCTGTATTAGCAGGCAGTTGGAGTCAGGAAGAGGAGGCCAGTATTGAACTCAGGTGCCTTGATCCTGGATGCTAGTGTCTCAGTTGCCAGGACAAAGGCATGCCTGCAATGTTAAGGTTATTTAGCAGCACTTCTATTTGTGGTAGTCATTCCCTTAACGCCTGTTAAACTGGTATTTGGAGGTCAACATATCATTCCTTGTAAACTTGTATGTTTTAATAATAGAAGAAAGGATTACTGTGTAAGCTTGAACTTGTGTACAAAAAAGTGTTTTACTTAGGTGATCTGCTGATTTACCATTAATGTGATTAAGCTCAAAAAGAGCCTTTTAGAATGAAAGTAAAACCGTCTTAAGTGGCACCACATTGCCTCAGAAGGATGTCAGGTTTCTCTTTCTGCGTTTTGGGAACAGGAGTGTGAGTGAATGCCAGTAGTAATTCAGCTGCTTCTTAAGCTGTTGGTACTTTCAGCCATTCCTCAGTGAATCTTGCAATTTTTTGGTATATCCTGTTTCGCTAAGAATTCCTCAGGTAATTTTATCTTGTAAATATCTCAGTATATTCCCGTAGATTCTTTTTGCAAGGGACAGTTACAAATAGTAAGAATTACGTGAGGTATTACCAAAGAAAGATGATGTTGGAAAAAGGACTTTATAAATTCTTGTTCCTTTTTATCATGTAGAGCATCAGAGTTGTTACAAATTAGTTGAAATTAAGCTGTAACTTTTTCTCTAAAAACTGTATTTCAGAAAACAGGTTGGTTACATATTTTTCGGTTATTAATGTTGGATGCTGAAATGGGTTCTTGAGTGTATTTCATAATTGTCCTTGTTGGTGTAGAAAGTGACCGAGACAGAAGACGATAGTGATAGTGACAGTGATGATGATGAGGACGATGTTCACGTCACCATAGGAGACATAAAAACGGGAGCTCCACAGTATGGGTAAGTTATTTTTAAGTAAGTAGCTATTGTGTGGGAAGCTACGTAGCAAATGCTGTGCCGGTGTCAAACCATCAGTGGTTAAAAACATTGTTTGTATATTTTTCTACCTTAACCATGATAAGAATTTTTGTTAAAGTTTCAGCATGAAAATAATTTCTCTCCTAAAGATGTAAGTCATCTGATTAGGTAAAGGTACATGGAAGCAGTAGCAGTTCTTGATTCTTGTGTTTAAAGAAATTCTCTAGAATAACTGAGAGCTATGAAATCTTTAGTTAGAATTAGGAAACCTCTAATTGCATTTTACATCTATATTTCTCATTCTTTTACTTTATTATCCAAACCTGAGTATAGATTTTTAGGGTTTTTTTTGGTCTAGTAAAAACTACTAAAGTTTTTTTTTGGGGGGGTTCCTTGTTTAGTTGATTATTCTGTCAGCTTTTTAGGCCATTGTGTTAGTCTCAGGTTTTATATTGTGTAAGCTGGACTAAACACTCATTGGACATTTGTAGGGAAAAAAAGGAAGGTAAAAAGGGAATAAAGTAAGAATTGGAATTAGGTGGAATAAATCAATAATTTTTGTTCAAATTGTATGATGTGATTATTATAGCTTGTGCAGTAAAAACACAAAGTAACTCCATTAATTTCACCGTAGTTCATTAAGCAGCCTTATTGGCAATCAGCCATTTTATACACACACACATACACATATACTCAAGTTTTTTTTGTAGAGCTCTTTTTTCCAAAGTCTTTATTTTAGGATATTTTAGGATTTTTGGAAGCTTACCCATAATTTACTTGTTGTCATGGTCAGTTTGGCATTATTATAATGAATACTCACTTAGCAACTTATTAAGGAGCAGAGTACAAAGTAGCTAACAGACTCAGTTACTCATGTTGAGGTAGATACTTTTTAAAATTTTTGTTTCTTTATTTGAAAGTTACAAAGAGAGAGGGAGAGACAGAGAAAGAAAGCTCCCATTCACTGGGTGGCTCTTCAGATGGCTGCAAAGCCAGGCCAGAGCCAGGAGCTTCATGTGGGTCTCCCATGTGGGTGGCAGGGCCATCTTTCACTGCTTTTCCCAGGCCTTTAGGAGGGAGTCTGGTCTGGAGTGGAGCAGCTGGGACACATGGGATGCTCAGTTGGCAGGCAGAGTCTTTACCTGCTGTGCCACAGTGCCGGCCCAGAGGTGAACACTCTTAATGTGGTCCTCATACTCGCTTGGGAAAGCAGATAATTAGCGTTGGACTGGCTGTGCTGGGAGGGAGGTCTGTCTGCATTGTGCAGAGGACACACTTGTGTACAAGACTATATTAGTTGCGTATTTGGAGGATATTATTATGTCAGATTATTTATCTTTGCTAATATAGAACAATTTAAAGCAAATGGCAATTTTTTGTATTGTTAGCATCCATTTGGGAGTAGGAATTGCATGCAGATTTTAAATATTTGTAGACTTCCGTGATCCTTTATGTGAACTGTATTTCTTAGAGCAGTTTTCAATTTCATGAACTGTAGTTATATTTGTGCATGTTTATCACCTTTAGATTCTAGACCCCTTTAGGGTAGAAGTTATGGTTTATGAATTTTCTGTTCCTTTGTCTAATTTATGGTATTCTATAAATGGCTTTTTTGGCTATTTAAGCTGTTTCTGAAGACTCTTCCTACCTTAATTAGGAAGATTTTCAAAAAAGTCATGTGTTGCTTAATGATGGGGTCGTGCTGTGAGAAATGCATCTTTAGGGAACTTGTCTTGTGACTTGGAGGAGCTGCACAGCCAGGGAAGTCAAAATCACTTACGGAAGGAGTTAGGGGGGTTTTGGCATGCCACTGTGGAATTTTAAAGAATTTTAGGCAAGTCAGGTTACTTAAAAAGATAACTAGCAGAAGCAGTTGGGATCCATTAGATGGGGAGAAATTATCTAATGGAGTTGAAGTATTTCTGGTTAGATGATAACATAAACTAAGCCAGCAGCGGTTGTGTATATTTGAGTGAATCCAGAACAGAAATAATATGGGTAACTGTTAGTTGTGGATGGAGGAAGCCAGAAGGGCTCCATGACTTGAAGGTTTCTAGAGCAGTAACGTGAGTACCCGTCATCGGAGCAGGTTAAAATTTGTCAGTATGTTCTTATTTTTAAAGATTTATAAATTTGAAAGTCTGGGTTAGAAGAGAGAGGAAGGGAGAGAGAACAAGCCAGTGTGACCTTCATCCGCTGGGTCACACCCCAGGTCGCTGCAACCACCAGGGTTGTGCCAGGCTGAAGCCAGGAGTCAGGAGCTTCTTCTAGGTCACCCACCCGCATGGCAGGGGCCCAAGTACCTGGCCATCCTCTGATGCTGTCTCAGGTGCATGAGCTGGCAGGAAGTGGAGCAGCGGGGACTTGAACCTGGGCTGCTATATGGGATGCCGGCATTGCATTGTATTTGAACGCGGATCAGACTGACTTGAGTTTGTCTTATGTGTTTACATTAAAAGTGCAGCCTGTAGTGCTTCAGCAGCACATATACCAGAGAAGATGAGCATGGCCCCTGCACAAGGATGACATGCAAATTAAATTCATGAAGTGTTCAATAAAAAAAAATGCAGCCCAGTAATGATTTCAGATGTCTCTGTTTGTGTCTCCACAACCTAGGTCACAATACAGAGCATTACTAGTATCCTGAAGCTCACTCGTTTCCTCTCAGTCATTAACCACCTTCCCCCAGCAAACACTGTTGTTTCACCCCAGGTTTATTTTTGAATTTCATGAGTGAACTTCTGTTACGTGCATAGTACTCCATGGTTATTTGAAACAGGATTTATCAATAAAATAAAATGTAGGGAAGACTGAAAGGAAGCCCCTGGGTTGGCAGCAAGGTGGAGAAGTTTCGTTCTTCCCAGATTGCTCTGTGTTAAAGAAGAAGGAGGCGAGGAGAGAAGAGTAGCTTACAAACCATTGTTGCTTTTCCTACCAGATGTCTTGTGAATTTGTTATGGTGGAACATTGAGCTAATGCCTGGGAGGTTTGAGATGGAAATAAGTTAGACTTTGATTTATTTTTAAAATATTTAAGTTATTTAAAAGTATTTATTTATTTGAAAGGCAGAGTGACAGAAGGGGAGAGACAGAGATCTTCCATCTGCTGGTTTACTCCCCAGATGGCTGCAGCAGTCTGGGCTGGGTCAGGCAAAGCCATGAGCTGGGAATTCTGCCCTTGGTCTCCCACATGAATGGCAGGGGCCCAGGTACTTTTGCCATCTTCTGCTTCCTTCCCAGGTGCATTACCAGGAAGCTGGCTCAGAAGTGGAGCAGCTAGGGCTTGAGCTGACACTCTGATTTGGGATGCCAGCTTTGCAAGCTGTGGCTTAAGCCACTGTCCCATAACACTGACCCCAAGTTAGGTTTTTTTAAAGAATAGTTTCCCTTTTATCGAGCAAGTTACAGACTTAAAATATTTCCCAAAATGTGTGTCTATCCCTTTACTATATACTCATGTGATTGATATATAGAGAATGTATTATTGTATGTGGACTCTGTGAGGATAATTTTTATTCTTTTGTTTTTAGGAGTTATGGTACAGCACCTGTAAATCTTAATATCAAGACAGGAGGCAGAGTTTATGGAACTACAGGTAAAATCTGTATTTGCAGTCGCATCACAGGCAGAATGACCTAGGTCACTTAGCTCACTTTCAGAGCAGTTTCTGACCACGTTTCAGAGATGAGTAAAGCCTTCTGTCAGGGCTGGGTGCAGGTGTCTTGTGCTGTGTGGGCTGCATAGTCTTGGCATGTTTGTTTCACAACGCTTTAAAATGGTTAAACTCTTTATCGCTCACAGGCTGCACAAAAACTCTTGTTATCATTGTTAGCAACTTCCTATTGGTGCAGGGATACCTCATTAGTAATAAATCCTTAATCTTTCTTTGAATTTTTTTGATAGTTGCACCATAAGGTTTGACTTTACCTACTTTGTTTGTGATGAGCATTACTCAGTGCTTTGGAACACTTGACATTTTTTTTGTGCCAGGAATGGTAAGATGGCGCTGAGTTTTGTCTGTCTGTGGTGTCTCTAGCTTCTTGCTAATGTGGATCATTCACCATTTTGTGATTTTATACAATAGGAACAAAAGTCAAAGGGGTAGACCTTGATGCCCCTGGGAGCATTAATGGAGTCCCACTCCTGGAGGTCGATCTGGACTCTTTTGAAGATAAGCCATGGCGGAAACCTGGTAAGATCACTTTGGATTATAGTAACTTCAAAGGTTTTCACTATAAAGTCATCAGAAACATTTTTAATCATCAATTTAGAATATTATTGTTTCAACAAAATTATTGTCTTAAGCACATGATGAGAAACAATGACCTGGTTATTAATTAATGTTAGGCCACCAATAATATTTAATAAATGAGACTTGCATATGGTTTAAAAGATTTATTTGGGAGGCAGAGTTACAGACAGAGGGAGAGACAGAAAGAGGTCTTCCATCTGCTGGTTCACTCCTCAAATGGCCACAACGGCCAGAGCTGGGCTGATCTGCAACCAGGAGCCAGGAGTTTCTTCTGGGTCTCCTACATGGGTGCAATAGTCCAAGCACTTGGGCCATGACCCATGGCTTTCCCAGCCCGTTAGCAGGGAGCTGAATCGAAAATGGAGCAGCCGGGACTCGAATCGGGGCCCGTATGGGATGCTGGCACTGCAGGCGGAGGCTTAACTTACTACACCACAGTGCTGGCCCCAGCACCATTTCTAAAGGAAATAATTCAGATTAAAATGTTTGTAGTATTTTGGTTTGTAGTGATAATTGAGAGCTGGTAAAAGTAGAAGGTGTAGATGCCAAGACTGGTAAAACTATATTTTTCTAGTTAACAGTTTTGAGGCTGTATAAGAATACAATTGATATATTTGTATACTTAAAGTGTGTTTCATCTTTAGGTGCTGATCTTTCTGATTATTTTAATTATGGATTTAATGAAGATACTTGGAAAGCTTACTGTGAAAAGCAAAAGAGGATACGAATGGGACTTGAAGTTATACCAGTTACCTCTACTACAAATAAGATTACGGTAATTAGTAAATATTCCAGAATACCCTTGCTTTTTCTACAGTCCCACTTGTGCTCCCCAGTTAAATCACTTTTTCCCTATAAAGGTGGTTAAATAATGCCATACGATAGTTTAAGAATTCCATTCTCTTTACCATGTTTGTTTTTCTTCCCTTCCTTCCCTTCCAGAGTTTTATATTAATGATTGTCTGATGTTTTTAGTTTCAAGTCACAGACCAGCCACAGCTAGTTTGTCTTTTTATGGCCTATCAATTAAAAATTATGTGGTATCTTAATGGGGAATATGTTATTTAACTTAGGCCGAAGACTGTACTATGGAAGTTACACCAGGTGCAGAGATCCAAGATGACAGATTCAATCTTTTTAAGGTGAATTTTAGTAAATTATCCTTGGTTGCTCTCATTTTTTGTTCTTGAGTCTGCTCCCATGCCACTACTCAAGGGACAGAATTAAAATTGAAATAGCTGCCTTTTTTCCAAACCTTCAGCTTCCTGGTGACTTACAAGTTTGCTGATTGTTGTTTTATCTCTTCTTTTGCAAGCATGTGAATTTATAGCCTGTTATACTAACATGCCAAGTAAAACTATTCTTTGCTTGTATGTTGTGATTTTTGAGACATAGTACATGTTTGTTTGTAGGATCTGAAAGTTCATGGCAACAGGTTAAGTTCTCATTGTAGATCACACTTTAATCTTTACCAGCAGAACTGGAGATTCTTTCTCCTGAGTGTTTATAAAATGGTGAGGCACGTGGTATGCAGTTATTATCTATATGATGCTGAGATCATTGGTGTGATGTCTCTTAGTTCCAGATATCTTCAAGAATTTTAGGAATTCTCTGAGACTCTAAACTCAACATTGGGATAAAGCCATTGATTGTTAAAATTAATATATAAAGGGTGTTGGTTGAAATTTGATACTACTGTTCGATTCCGTGGTAGCAACACAGGTAGACTTAGCCCAAACAATAATGTGATGTTTTCATACTTCTGTCTTGAAACTTTTTGTGTGCTCTTCATTCTTTACCTTGATACTGTCTTTGTGTATTGAATTGCACTGTGATGAAGATTGGGAGTGGCTTTCAGCTTGGATTCTGTACTCAGGAAACTTTTGTGGGCTGAGTATGGAACTGTGCCCCTTTTGGGATTGCAGCCCTGTCCACCAAAATACTGCCTTATGCATTGCATGTGCTATATCCGCAGATGTAGCCGCTCTGCTGGACACAGTTCTGTATAGTGAACTTAATTTTAATTAACATCACACTCTGGGTAAGTATTTGGTTCTTGTTCTGTTGAAAATATTTTGAAAATATGTGATGGTGTCTCCCCTGTTTTAAAAGGAGGTCAGGTTCTCTTTGCTGACTCTGGACTTAGGCAGTGACTAAATTGTTATCCTGGAACAGGTTGTGTGCAGTGGTGCATCAGAAGTGACAACTCCCTTTGCAGACTGCTGGCTTCTGAATACTTTGGTTTTTTGTTTGTTTTTCTGTTGACTTCTAGAAACAGAGTAGGACTAATCTCATCAAAGGTAGTCATTGCAGCTGTGTTTTTTATATGCATAATGTTTGTGGAAAAATTATTTTGAGGTTTATTTTGGTGATAGGACCAGAGGTCATTGACTTTTGCAGTCTGATTTATTGGCTTCTGAATGAGTAAGGACTTGGAACTTATGGGTAGAGTGTAATAGTTTTCTTGCCTTGATAATGTGCTTAGATACTAATAATGTCTGGATTTGGAACAGAGTGTGCATTTTAATGTCTGTGGCAGTCCTTTTACCTTTAGGTGGGTGTTGTGATCTGTAGGAAACAATAGCACTAGGACCATGATGAGAAAGTCCTTAATCTTAAACTGCCTGCAAACATTGGTGTGGACGGTGGGAAGCTGCTTTGAGGGTTGGCAAAAGCATGCACATCTGATTTTCAGAAGAGGAACTGGCAGAAGGTTAGACTAGAACGGGAGGGGGATAAGGAAAATCAGACCAGCTAGGGAGCTTGCTGTAGGCACTCTAGGAGTGGAACTCTTAAAGCTGAATGGGCACATGTTTGGATTTAAGAATCATAATTAAATTTTCATATATACAATAAAAATACTTCGTCTTCATCCTTAGTCAAGTGAGCGACAAGCCATCAGCCTCTTTTAGGTAACTTCTTTTGCTTTTCATTGTGTAGATTTTCCAACATAGTAACGAGTGGGGAAAGTGGTACAAACGAACCTCTAGGTGCTTATACAGCTTCAGTGAGGACCAGCATTCTGACATTCTTGAGGTACAGCCTTCTAAATACTTTAGTATGAGTAAGGTCTTTGTGTTAAAATAAAGGAAGTTGAAATGTAATAGGTATAAAGATAAGCCACTCAATTGGGTGCAGGTGAGTTGTGTAATTATAGAATTCAGAGTGGGGTGGAGAGATTGGGTAACATGTATGATAGGTATGCGTAAGAAGAAAACTGACCGCATCCTTTTCTTTAAAAAAAATTTAAGATTTATTAATTTATTTGGAAGAGTTACAGAGAGGGATAGAGAGAGAGAGAAATTTTCTGTCTCCTGGTTCTCTCATCAGTGGCCAGGCCTGAGCCAAGCTGAGGCTAGTCACCAGGAAGTTGATCCGGGTCTCCCACTTGGGTGCCAAGGGCCCAAACACTTGGGCTTTCCGCTGCTTTCCCTGGTCATTAGCAGGAAGCTGGATCTGAAGTGGAGCAGCTGGGACACGAATCAGCACCCATGTGAGATCCTGGCGTCTCAGACAGAGACTACCCACTGCACCGCAATGCTGGCCCCATCCACTCTTGTTCTTATTTATTTATTTATTTGACAGAGTTAGAGAGAGGCAGAGACAGAGAGAAAGGTCTTCCTTCTGTTGGTTCACCCCCAAAATGGCCACTACGGCTGGAGCTATGCCGATCGGAAGCCAGGAGCCAGGTGCTTCCTCCTGGTCGCCCACGTGGGTGCAGGAGCCCAAGCACCTGGGCCATCCTCCACTGCCCTCCCGGGCCACAGCAGAGAGCTAGCCTGGAAGAGGAGCAACCAGGACTAGAACCCGTATGGGATGCTGGCGCTGCAGGCGGAGGATTAACCAAGTGAGCCACAGCACTGGCCCCAAGATATATTTATTTATTTATTTGAAGAGCAAAGGTACAGAGAGAGGAAGGGAGAGGTAGAGAGCAAGCAGCATCTTCAATGACCTGGGTCACTCTCCAAATGGCTGCAATGGCCAGGGCTGAGCCAGACTGAAGCCAGGAGCCTGGAACTCTATCCCAGTCTTCCATGTGGGTGGCAGGGGTTCAGGCACTTGGGCCATCTTCCACTGCTTTCCCAGGTACATTAGCAGGGAGCTGGTTTGGAAATAGAGCAGGGGGACTGAAACCAGTGCTCATACGGGATGCCAGTGTTGCAGGTGGCAGCTGAACCTAGTATGCTCCAACAGTGGCGTCTTAAAATTCTTTAAAATCCACATGTGCACATACGTGTATGTGCATACATGGATTTTTTTTCTTTATACGGAAATGTATATGAACTCTGTCATCATTGTTTTGAAATCTCAAAGTTATATTCATTTCTTTTTTGTTTTGTAGGATTATTTTATTTAGTTGAAAGGCAGAGAGAGGGAGAGATACAGAAAAGATCTTGCATCCACTGGTTCATTCCCCAAACAACTGCACTGGCTAGGGCTGGGCCATGCCCAAACCATGATTCTGGAATTCCTCCTGGCTCTCCCATGTGGGTGGCAGGGGCCCAAGTACTCGAGCCTTTTTTCTGCTGCTTTCCTTAGCTCATTAGCAGGGTGCTGGTGTCGCAGGCAGAAGCTTAACCTCTGTACCACAGTGCCAGCTCCACGGTTCTGTCTGGTTTTGATCTGTTTCCATCCGCTGTACCAAGTCTGGAAACACAGAGCCTTCACTTCTGGGACTTTCCTCTATTATTTCTCTACTTTGGACTACCTTTTCAGATGTTGGACCTCTTAGCCTGGTCCTATAGTTTCCTGATTTTGTCTTACTTTGTTTTTCTTTGTCTGCTGTTATCTGAAGTTTCTTCAGCTTTGCTACCCTTATAGTACTCAGCTTTCATTTCTACTGTTGTATTTTTAGTTTTCATGGAAGTTTTTTCCCCTTACTGTAACTGTAGCGCCCCACCCTTCAGTCTTGCAGTAATGCCCTATCTCCCCACCACCGATGACGCCATCTTGCAAAAGATACTAATGATAAGTTCTCTTCCTGCAGTCTTCCCCTCAAATTGATTTTTTTGAAGTTTGTTATTTTTGGCTTCAGACTTTGAGTTTTCTGCAGTATGTGTTGATTGTTGGCCAGTCACTGGTTAAGAGTGGGCCCTGAAGCTCTGTGGAGGTGCATAGAGCTTGCTCAGAGTGGCATTGCTGTCAGGGCACAGCTTGTTACCAGTCCCCTGAGGTCAAAGTTGAGGTTTTGCTTTTTTTTCTTTTTGTTATAATTTAGTTTTTTTAGAAAAACAATCCAGTATCCTGCCTGGAGAGTATAGGTCTGGGTGATTGGAATGTTCTGGGAACGTCCATTGTCAGTTCGAGAGCCTTGGGAGTCCTGCGTAATCTTCAGTGCGTGTTTGCCTTCTCGTGCTGACTTCGGATGCGGCTTTCCTGGGGCTGGCTCAGTCACTTCCTCTTTTCATCTGCTCTCAAAGCATTTCATTTTGTTGCTTTCCCAATATTTCTGTTCTTGTGGATTGGAACAAAATGGTAGATTACTTAGATCTGATTTTCTTTTCTCGCCCTCGTATTAGGTGGTACATGCTATTGTAGGTTACTGTTTCACTGTCTTACACAGCTGCGGGAGCGCTGTCTCCTGCAGCGCAGGTCACTCGGCGTTCCTGCCGCCTTGCTGTGGCGCTGACCTTGACGCCCGATGCTGTGGCGGGCACGCCAAGGAAATTCCAGCTCCCCACCTTGCGGTACAGTGGTGCAGTGCTGGCAGGATTGGGGGATGCTTGGTTTTCCAGTGCTACGAACCTTAGTCCCATTTTGTTTGGATTTGTAAGATCTGACAAAAATTCCTTTTCATAGTAATTTTTAAATTGTTAGCTCATTTGGAGTGATAATCCCATTATGTTCTGTTGGGACCGTTTTGAGTCTGTAATCCTTAGTGCAATGTCTAAAGACAGGGAATTGGATGATTGTGCAGGCTGACTATATATTTATTTATTTATTTATTTATTTTTTGACAGGCAGAGTTAGATAGGGAGAGAGAGAGAGACAGAGAGAAAGGCCTACCTTCCGTTGGTTCATCCCCCCAAATGGCCGCTACGGCCGGTGCTGCACCGATGATCCGAAGCCAGGAGCCAGGTGCTTCTTCCTGGTCTCCCATGTGGGTGCAGGGCCAAAAGACCTGGGCCATCCTTCACTGCACTCCTGGGCCACAGCAGAGAGCTGGACTGGAAGAGGGACAACCGGGACAGAGAATAGGGAGAAAAGAGAATTTAAAAATCGGCCTTGTCTACCTTGTGCCGTCTTCACCCTTCTGCTGTTGTAGAAATTCCTTCATCTGTACTCTCCCTCTTCCTCCCCTTTTACTCCGTCTCCCACTTCTCTTCCCTGCCTTTCTCCAGTCCTCCTTCCCAGTTTTTAATTGAGCGGTGACTATGCCAGGAAGTGCATTAGGCCTGGGCAGGGCAGGGAGGAGGTGGCTCTAAGAGACACAGATCCTGCAGTCTTGGGAGTTTATCAGTATTAATGGGAAAGATAGGTTTGAAGTAAGTAAGCATGCCAAAGATTACGTAGTTATAAACTCCATGTCCTGTCGAAGAACTTGGGAGAAGTAACAAGACATTTGAGCTGAGTCCTAAAATCAGTCAAATAACATGTATTTATTGAGTACTTAAACACTTGTCAGGGAACTTCAGGTACTAGGGATACAGATGTATCCATCTTCAAGGATCCTAAGTTCCAGTGGCAGCAGACAGGTAGTACTCATGTAACAAAATAAATTCAGGTAATGATGCTAGTGAGAAGTTGTGTGAAGGGAGTAAAAAGTAGCTGTGATCAGGGACACTACAGCAAGGAGACACTGTGTGCTATGGTAGCCCCCGCCGTGTCTCGCAGAGTGAGAAGGAAAGCTTCTGTCCCCTGGTTGACTACCCAGATGGCCACAACGGTCAGGGCTAGGCTGGGCTGGGTCAAGGGCCTGGAAGTCCATCTGGGTCTTCCACATGGGTGCAAGGGCCCACTTACTGGGGCCATCTTCTGGTGCCATCCCAGGCACATCAGCAGGGAATAGGATCTGAACCACAGTGGCCGGGACTCAAACTGGTTCTCTCATGTGGAGTGTTAGGTTTTTAGGCCATGGCTTACCAGCTGTACCACCATGCTGGCCATACATTTTAGACAGGTTATAACAAGTGAATTTTTTCATTCAGTGCATTTTAGACAGGTTGTAACAAGTGGAGAGGCAGCGGAAGGGCTGAATATGGTGGTGGGTTTGACCTGGGTTTTAGGAGAGGACATAGTAAGTTATTGTGATGGTGAAGTTAACATAGTGGATGTTGACATGTACTAGGTAATTCCCGAGATGTTGTGTTGTGTTTTGTTTTCCTTGAACCACAAGGTAGATGGTGATGCCATTTACTTATCTGAGGAGTACTTGGAGAAGGTGAGGTTGAGGGAATTCAGTAGTTTTGTTTTGGCCGTGGTAACTTTGAGATGCCTCCGAGACGCTGTCAGAAGTTGGGTATAAATGATACGGTGCTCAGGGAAACCTTGGGACTGTGGTGTCACCTCAGGGCGTTGCTGACATCCCCAGGGAGAGTCGTGTGTTTGTATTATCCCATAGGTGCTTTTCCCATTTAGCGCATTGCTGTGATCATTGTGTGTCTGTTTTTTCCTAAGGTTGGGATTCTGTAGTGTTTAGTTAGTTCTGTATTTGATGAATGAGTCATGTTCACTTGCCCAGTTACCAGAATCTGTCAATTATACATGTCAAGTTTCTGTCAAATCCATTTCTGTCTTTCTGTCTCCATTGTCCTGGTGCTGATTGTTATCCCTCTTTAGTGCATCTTACATGGATAGCTTTTTAAATAGTGGAACTCATTCAAGTCAACTACATTTTGTAAAGGCCTAATTATATGAAGGTATCAGTTATAGATTGGATTGGACACTAGTTAAGGAGAGATCTGACCATAATGACTTAAATACACACACTTAGGATTTTTTTTTTTCCTCACATGGTGGTTAGTTGGGAGGTAGATGACGTCTGGAATTGAATCCATGGTTCAAATATGTGAGAATCGGAATATCTGAGATTCTCTTGGCTTTTGCCATATGGGGAGGGAGACTGAATTGAATTTAGGTGGAGCAAGGGCAGTAGGATTTAAGTAGGAAGTAAAATAGTGTGATGTTACTTGAAGGTATATTAACTTAGTTTAAATTTAATGACTTGTTGATGAGCTTAAGATAGGAAGGTGAGTATAAAAACAAAATAACATAAACCTGGCTAGAGTATAATTGGACTATACCCAAAAGGATGTGATGGGGCAGACGGGTTGGGCATATCGTGGAGAAATTATGAAGTAGATGCTATTTTGAAAATTAACAAGAAGAGGGAAGATAGGTCTTGAGGGATCGGGTGACTGGATCTGCTGAACTGGCAGGGCAGTGGTGATGGGAGAACGGGGAAGTGGTGTGTAAGTGCAGCAGCTGTCTGTTCGTGTTCATGTCACCACGGTCTGGATAGAAAGTGCTCAGAGCGGCTGCAGTGGCCCCTGGCAGTTTTCTTAGATGACACTGATGGGCACAGAGAAGATGCTTCAGTGCCTCTCTTGAACTCTGACACTTGGAATCATAATCGAGTATTCTAGACTTAGTTGTGGTGATCTGGGGGAATTAGACTGAGTTTATAGGGCTTCTCAGCGGCATCAGTGTGAACGCTTAGTAGCTGGAACGTTTTCATCCCGTAGTCCATCTTTGATGCCTTCTGCCTAATGTTTTTCTAAAATAAGTTAATTTAATAAATATTCAGCAATGAAACTTTTTTGTGTTTAACTACAAATGAGATGTTACAAATTTATTTTAACATCTTCAGTGTATTGTACTTGAATGTCCTAATTAAACAAGCTAATGAACTTTTTTTAAGGTGCAGCAGGGAAGAACTGGAAATTCAGAGAAGGAAGCGGCACTTCCATCTACCAAAGCAGAGTTCACTTCTCCTCCCTCTTTGTTCAAGACTGGGCTCCCACCAAGCAGGTTCGTTAGACCCTTGCAGCTCAGTGACTATCAGGCGTTGGCGCCTTTACACTGTTTGTGCTGTGCTAGGAGTAAAAACTGCTTCTCCTGTCAAAAGCTAGAACATCTGTCTTTGTTGTAGCACCAAAGAAATTATTTGTGAAACTCTCTTGGTGCTCTTGGATCGTGCTAGAAATGAAGGGTTGTGTGCAGTCGTGTGTGTGTGTGTGTGTGTGTCCCCATGTGCACGTCCATGTGCATGCAAAAAGAGACGGCAGCGTGACACTTGAGAGAGGTGCTCCCAGTCCTGCTCTTGCTGTTTTCTATACTAGTCTTACGTAGAAAATAACTGGATTTCCTGAGACCTATTGACTCAATGGTATTTTGCTGATTTTAGTAAAAGGTTGTAGAAATTTCAGCCAGGAAAATCTTTTAAATTTGACTCATTTTCTTTTATTTCTTTAGTTTGATGTGAAACACCTAATTTTGTGTTTCACAAGGTGCCAGATGTAAGAGGCAAATGCACTAGAAAATGTCCTTTTTGTTTAAATGCAACAAACAGATACCCATTGCTCCATGGTCAGGAAGATGGTGAAGGGTGGCTAGAACTAGGACAGTCTGTTGTCAGCAGCTTAGTCTTAGGTTAGATCAGTGACCCAGCTACCACCAGCTCCTAGTTCATTTCCCCTGTGTGTTACTTGTTTGAGGTTATGTTTCATAATAGATCAATGCAGGAAGAGACCTTAAGGAGGATTCTTATTTACTCCTGTGATATTCTTGAGCATTTAGCTAAAATTAAATGTCATTAAGCAGTCCTGGGTTTTTATGGATTGTCATAGACATATCTAAATGTGATTATTTAAACTGTGTACAGTGTCATAAAATGACCATAAAGAATTCATGATAGCTAAGGAAGATTGATCCTTTTCTTTCCTATCTTGTATTTTTTATAATAGGTCAACATTCATTCATTGAGTTTATGATGTTTTATAGGATTGAGTGCTGTTAAGAGGCAGGACTCTGAGGTCAGACTTCTGAGGTTCAAAATTTGGCTCTCTGATTTACCAATTCTGTGTCTTTGGGCAGGTTCCCTCATCTAATTGCACCTCAGTTTGCTAATTTGTAAAATGTACTGATGGTATTTCCCTCATAAGGTAGTTTATAGATTGAATTTTGGATTATCTTTTTTTTTTTTAAAGATTTATTTATTTATTTGAAAGTCTGAGTTAGAGAGAGAGAGAAGGAGAGGCAGAGAGAGAGGTCTTCCATCTGCTGGTTCACTTCCCAATTGGCCGCAATGGCTGGAACTGCGCCGATCTGAAGCCAGGAGCCAGGAACTTCTTCCGGGTCTCTCAAATGGGTGCAGGGGCCCAAGGACTTGGACAGTCTTCTTCTGCTTTCCCAGGCTATAGCAGAGAGCTGTATCAGAAGTGGAGCAGCCAGGACTTGAACTGGCATCCATATAGGATGACAGCCCTGGAGGTGGCGGCTTTACCCGCTACAACATAGCACCAGCCTTAATTTATCTTGAGTGTTTTAGATCAGAACCTGGTTTGTAGAAAATATTCTATTGTAATTAAACTACTTGTAAATCAGTAACAGTTTTTCTGTATCTTGTCTTTGGTTCATTTATTTTAATTTGGGCCAGATTATATAAGGACGTGTGCCACTGTGTGAGCTTTGGCTTTTCCTGTAAATGGAATAAATGGGCAGTTGCTATTGGATTTTCAGAGTGATGGAATAGTTTGATTTAAATTTTTAAAGTCTCAATATAGCTGTTTTATTTATTAAGAACAGACTACAGAGTGAGTGAGGGTGGAAAAAGGCCAAGTGGGAGGTTGCAGCAGTTGTATTGACAAGATATAACAGTGACATGGACCAGGGTAGTAGTGGAGATGGTAAGTAGTCAGATGCTAGATACATTTCAGAAGGTAAGCCAATAGGTTATCTGAAAGGATTGTATGTATATTATATAGAGAAAGAAGTCAAGAAGGAAGGCAAGGTTTCTGTCATCAGCTTAGTAGGAAGGATGAAGTTGTCATTGATTGAGAAGGGAAAGACTACAGGAGGGGTAGTATGTGGAGCAGAAGACCAAGAGTGCCTAGTGAACATAAAAGTGGAGAATTTGGGCAGGAAGGGGGATACGCCAATCGAGAGGGGAAGGAATGTGGGCTGGAGATACAGACTTGAGATGGTTAGTGTTTATATGAAGCTGGGAAATGCAGTTAGGCTGTAAGTCTTGACAGAGAAATGGTGAGGAGACAGAGTCTTGGGGCAGTGTCCTTGTAGGTCAGAAAAATAAAGAACATCCAGTACAAGGAGGCCACTAAGGAGGAGTGACTAGGAAAGTGCAAGAAGACCAAGCATATGTCTAGAAAAGGGGGTTTTAAGAACAAAGAATGGGGGCTGGCGCGGTGGTGTAGTGGGTAAAGCCGCCCCCTGCAGTGCCAGCATCTCATATGGGCGCTGGTTAAAGTCCAGCAGCTTCACTTCTGATCCAGCTCTCTGCTATGGCCTGGGGAAGCACCCTGCACCTGTGTGGGAGACCCTGAAGAAGCTCCTGGCTCTTGGCTTTGGATCAGTGCAGGTGCGGCCATTGCAGCCAATTCAGGAGTGAACCATTGGATGGAAAACCTCTCTCCCTCTCCCTCTCTCTCCCTCTTTCCCTCTCTCTCTGTCTCTCTCTCTGCCCCTCCTCTCTCTGTGTAACTCTGACTTTCAAATAAATAAGTTGATCTTAAAAAAACAAAGGAGAGACAATTGGATTTTAAAGCGCAAAGGCCATTGGTGATCTTAACCAGGATAATTTCCAGTGGCACATGGTGTGGATAAAAATCAGCTTGGAATGTGTTCAAGCAGAGATGGAAGGAGAGGGATTAGAAAAAGAAAATGTAGGCAGTTTTGAAGATTATTTTCTTCTTTAAAAAATATTTACTAATTTATTTGAAAGAGTTACAGAGAAGCAGAGGCAGAGAGAGAGAGAGGTCTTCCATCCTCTGGTTCACTCCCCAAATGGCCGCAATGGCCAGAGCTGATCTGATCTGAAGCCAGGAGCTACTTCCAGGTCTCCCACACACGTGCAGGGGCCCAAGGACTTGGACCATCCTCTACTGCTTTCCCTGCCATAGCAGAGAGCTGGGTTGGAAGTGGAGCAGCTGGGACTCAAACCGGCATCCATATGGGATGCTGGCACTGCAGGCAGTGGCTTTACTTGGTATGCCACAGTGCCAATCCTTATTTTCTTTGTTCCAAAGGGAACCAGAGAGATGTGACACTTTGATCTGAAGGGAAGTGTGCGATCCGGAGGTTTTTTCCACAATGAAAGCAGTCGCAGCATTTTGTATTCTTGTGGCAGTGAATTAATGAGGGATAAACTGATGAAGGCAATAAGTGAGAAGTGCAGTTATAGAATAATGTCCTCAGTAAGGCCAGAGGTCGCGGGACGTGGGGTACAAGCAAGAGCATAGGGCTAAGTAGGAGCATGGACAGTCATTTGTGTTGAAGGAGGGAAGGCAGGATATAAAAGCGCCGTGCTGGTGGGTGGGTAGATAATTGGAATGGGAACAACTGAAGGCTGTCTTCTGATTGCTTCCTTTTTGTACTAAAATAAGATGGAGGCCTAGCTGGGAATATTTTGGGTAGTGGAAGGGGTGGTCCGTGAAGAGATGTGAGCATGAATAAAAGGGAAAGGAATGGGCTTGCAGGAGGGAGATGTGCCATCAAAAGTGGGGTGGCTTGCTTGCCTTTTTTTTTTTTTTAAGGTTTGTTTGAAAGAGCTTCAGGGAAAGATGGAGAGATCTTCATCTGCTGGTTTACTCCCTAGATGGCCAGCCACAACAGTCAGTACTGGGCCAGGCCAAAGCCCGGAGCTCCTTTCAGGTCTCTGACGTGGGTGACAGGGGCCCAAGCACTTTGGCTGTCCCCCAGTGCTTTTCCAGGCCATTAGCAGGAAGCTGGATTGGAAGTGGAGCAGCTGGGATGCCAACTGGTGCCCATATGCGATTCTGGTGGTGGCAGCTTTAACTGCCATCACACAACCCTGGATCCTGGAGCGATTATTTTCAAGATGAGAGAAATTACAGCATTTTTATATACTGATAAGAATAAGTTAATATAATGAAAAATGACATACAGAGAAAAGGCACATATTTTCAACTTTTCTTGAGGCCTGTTGATGGTCATTGGTTTAAGTCAGCTGATTGGTGTGTGTATCTCACCTTTGTTAGTTATGCATGTGTTCATGAAGGGTAGCTGGAGTTTCCTTAACAAAGGTCAAGTTGAATCAGATAAATATGAAGAGGTAGAGGGCGAGTGTATGCTCAAAGCAGTGGTTGTTGGCTGGCCGTGGATCCTAGGAGAGAGTGGGATAAGGCAGCAGGGAGCACAAGTAGGAGCTGCCGGGACGTGAACTGGCCTGTGTGGGAGGTCAGCACTGCAGGCAGTGGCTTCACCCACTGTGCCAGCCCCGCCAGTATTTCTCACCTCTCCTCTGTTCCATATCAGATCTCCTGTTTCTCACAGTGCGAACCTGGCTCCCGGTAACCTCACTGTGTAAACTAAATAGATACGCAACTTCTTCATTTACCATTACAGAAAACAAGCCTATTAAATAGAGTTCAGAGTTTCAACAGTTTCCTTCAAAGTAGTTATATTAATCACTTCAAATATAATTTTGTTCAGTGTGTGTTTATTCAATTTTAGCTGTTCTTTTCCTCCATGCTTATTGATACAATTTCATGTTGTTACCTAGGTAAGACATTTAACATAGCTCTGGAGGCAAGGCTGTCTATCCAAAGACATTGAGAGATTTGGTCCTTTTTTCTCCACTTTTTTCTCTGCTCTTTTTTCCATTCTGGTCAGAAACAGATTTCATTTAATTTCTGCTTTATTCTTCTTTTGTTTATGGTTACATAAACAAGCAGATTTATAGACATTTTTTCTATTGCTTTGAAAGAACATTTGATTAATTCTTTAAAGACTGGCAATAATGTGAATAGCTTAACTTTTTATGGGACATGTCACTGGATATATTTTGTTGAATTTTACTTGAAAGGAGTTGATGGCATTTTTATAAAGTATGTATTTACCTTAGGTTTTTATTAAACATTTTAGAGTATTTCTGTTAACTGCACTAACAGTACTTTTATCTGTTACTGAAGAATATAGGGAAAGAAATAAGCTAAATTTTGAGTAAGATTTTGTGAAGTGTAGAAATTCATGTTGATTAGCTGCAGCATGGAGATGCATTTCTTGCTAATGAACTGTTACCTGAAGTAAGCCCTGATTCTTTTCTTCTCATTTCTCCATTTTGACATCAAGCTATGTTGAAGATTTAGTAACAGGTCTCTGTAAGTCCCACTGGTAAATGTCTGTGTGACTTGCAGAGTGACACTGTAGGAACATGCTGAAGGACTGACTGTAGGGGAGAAGCACAGGGAGGTGGTCAGAGACAGCAGTAGTAAAAACACGGGGGAGGGGGATCTGACAGCAGTATGCAAAAGCAACACCCAGGAAATTGTCTCACCAGGAACAGCGCCTCGTCTCAGTCTCAGCCGAGTGCTGCCTCCAGAAAAGCCAGCTCAAGCGTCGGCAAGTGGCAGGATCGCTACGGGAGGGCCGAATCGCCTGATCTAAGGTGAGACTTTCCAGTTGTCGGATACCCCCAGTATACAGCGTCAGTGCTGCTTTGATTAGACAGTGCCATGTTCCTGCTCTCCAGATTATCCCTTCAGGGTGCAGTTGGGGGATTTTTGGTTACCTTATGAATTTAGACCCTCATATGTCTTGCTACCTATCCTTCTAGCTTCTTTTTAAAAGATATTACTTACTTCGATTTCATTTGAAAGGCAGTAAAGCAGAGAGTGAGAGACAGCCAGCCAGGCAGAGATCTTTGTCTGCTGGGTCATGCCCCAAATGTCTACAACAGCTAGGGCAGGGCCAGGCTGAAGCCAGGAGCCCAGAACTCAGTCTGGGTCTTCCACATGGGTGGCAGGGACTCAACTACTTGAACCATCATCTGTTGCCTCCTAGGGTGTGCATTAACAGGAAGCTGGAATTGGAAGCGGAGTCTGGACTTGAACCCAGGTACTCCTATAGAGGATGTGAGTGTCCCAGATGATGTCTTAACCGCTGTGCCAAATGCCTGCCCTCAAGCCTCTTAAAATGTAAAATAAATTACATTGAATGATGGTAATGAGTGCTCAGTAAATATTTTTTTCTCTCCTTTGCTGCAGGTTGATTCTTCTTTCTCATACCACATCCAGATTTAAAAAAAAAAAAAAAATCCCCAGGTGCTTTTCATTTATTGACTAAAACCTAACCTGAGCCAATACTTAAGACCTGTAAAATTTTACTGAGCTGAATCTTTCCAATCCCTGCCCCTAACTGCAGTGCCTAAGCTTGCTATTCCAGTAAGTGTGTACACCAGCTCTCCTGGAATATGCTGTTTTCTTTACTGTTGTTGGAATTTTACTTATGATCTCTCCACCATAGATTTTTGGTTTGTGTTCTAAGTCTTTACAAAACATACAGCTATGGGGCAGGCATTATAGTTTCTCTGAGCCTGAGAAGTGGAAGTAACACTTCCTTCCTAAGGGAGATAATAGAAGAAACTGTTAGGGTGTGAGACTGCCTTGTGAACAATAATCAGTTTGAGAGGTTTTATTACTCTGATGCCTGACTTAGAAATACATACAAAGATTCCTTTTTTTAAAAAAATTTTTTTAAAGTTTTATTTATTTGAAAAGCAGAGTTACAGGGAGAGATCTTCCATCCACTGGTTCACTTCCCAAATGGCCACAACAACCTGGGCTGGACCAGCTGAAGCCAGGAGATTTTTCTGGGTCTCCTACATGGGTGCAGGGGCCCAAGCAGTTGGGCCATCTTTCACTGCTTTCCCAGGCCACAGCAGGGAGCTGGATTGGAAGTGGAGCAGCCGGGACTCGAATCGGTGCCCATATGGGATGCCAGGGCTTTAATCTGCTGTGCCACAGTGCCGCCCCACCAAGATACCTTTCAAATATACGGTTTGAGATTTTAAATAATTGTAGTACATGAAGGATAAGTTTCTTTGTTTTACTTTTGTTGTTATGCAGTTTTAATTATTTCTGGGCAACTTGATCCTGTATCTTAATGTGCTTTAATTATTTAATTTCAGAACTTTTAAATATGTAATTTATGATCAAATGTCTTTGATTCTAACATCTAAAAGCAAACCAAAGGAAAAAAAACACTTATCAAAATTTAGATTTCTTTCTTTATGCAATGAACTTGGTAAAATTTTCTGTTAGAGAATAAGCTTAGTCATTTTCAGAAGTGGGTCAAACTCAGAAATACCTCGACACTTTAAACAGTAAGCTATAAGGCTAGAGACTTAATGAGCAGTGAGTTCCATGTGCGTTTGCAGGTTAAAGAATGAAAATTTGTGTTTATCTTTCTATTTTAAAAGTTTCCATTGACATTTTTCATGTTATACAATATTTGTTGATTTTTTTTTTTTTACTGTTCTACTTGAGGCAGCTATAGAAATTTCAAGAATTGTTCTAAATGTTAGGTCTGACAAATGGAGCAGTGTTTTTCTCATTTGACAGACCTACAGAAACCCAAGTTTAAGATTTGGTTTATTAATATAACTAGCTTGGTTTAATGTATGCAGAAACACTTGGATATGTATCTAACCTGGCCAGCAACAGGAACAATTTTGATCCTAAAATTGTTCCTAAAATAAATAAATCCTATTTATTGATCCTAAAATGGCCAGACAGTAAGAACTTTTATTATTATAAATCCACATCATACTGCTGTTAATGAATTGGTTGTCATCTTTATAGAGAGAGAGGGAGTGTAATTTTTTTAAAGATTTTATTTATTTATTTATTTGCGAGGTAGAGTTACAGACAGTGAGAGGGGGAGACAGAGAGAAAGGTTCACTCCCCAAGTGGCTGCAATGGCCAGAGCTGGGCCAGTCCAAAACCAGAGCCAGGAGCTTCTTCTGGGTCTTGCACGTGGGTGCAGGGTTCCAAGCACTTGGACTATCTTCTGTTTCCCAAGCCATAGCAGAGAGCTGGACCCGAAGTGGAGCAGCGGGGACCAGAACCAGCGCCTGTATGGGATGCCAGCACTGCAGGGGGTGGATTAACCTACTGCATCACAGTGCCGGGCCCCAGGAATGTAATTTTCCTAAAGTTTCAGCTTTATCCTGTAACAAGTATTGAATTTGGATTTTTTAGCTTTAGTTTTGTCAATAACTGCCTGCGCTAATTAAGGAATACTCCCTAATGTATCTGGGCCCACGTCACCTCATTTGTGGGATGGTGAGGCTAGACTGTGTGATCTGGAAGGCTTCTGCAATCTGAAATTTTTTGTTTTGAGGCTCGTCCTTTGCCTTTTTTTTTTTTTTAAGATTTATTTATTTTACTTGAAAGAGTTACACAAAGAGTGGAGAGGCAGAGAGAGAGAGGTCTTCCATTCGCTGGTTCACTTCCCAGTTGGCCGCAACGGCAGGAGCTGCGCTGATCAGGAGCCAGGAGCCTCCTCTGGGTCTCCCACGCGGGTGCAGGAGCCCAAGAGCTTGGGCCGTCTTCTACTGCTTCCCCAGGCCATAGCAGAGAGCTGGATTGGAAGTGGAGCAGCCGGGACTCAAACCAGTGCCCATATGGGATGTCAGTGCTGCAGGCGGCGGCATTACCCGCTAGCTACAGCACCGTCCCCTGGTCCTTTGTTTACAATAGAATAAAAGAACTTGAGAAGTTAGGGGATTTACCCAAATGACAGCTAGGATGCCAAGTTTAGGCAAATTACTTTCATAGGTGAAGACAAAACCATTTAAATCTCTTACTTTTAATGTAATTTAAAAATCTTAGATTTGTTTCTTTTGCATTAACATATGAAATTCTTTTTATATCAGCTGTTTGACTTAGAATTTTTTGCTTAAAATGGTTATGCTTTTAATGTAATACTGTATATTGAAGTATGTAAGATGGCTAGTTTATGAAAGTGGTACATCTCAGTGCTAGATCTAAACTCCCTACAGTCACCTCTACCCCCAGAACAGATGCCTTGGAAACAAAAAGCTCTCCATTCTGACTTTGATTAATCTCGGGGATTGTATGTAGTAAGCAATATGACAGTGTTCTTTTTCTTTATGTCATTGCTTTTTTAAAAAAATTATTTAGAAAAGGGAACAAACTTCATGTATTTCATATATATGGTTTTAAAATCATAATGATAATTTCCACTCTACCCTCTCTCCCTTCCTCCTCATTTTTCTTTTAATGTTTACAATGATATACTTTAAATTTTCTTTATAGTCACAAGCTTAACCCTCCACTAAATATAGTTTCAGCAAGGAGTAAGTAGAAAACCATTGGTTCTCAAGAGTATAGAAAAAGGCTGTAAAAATAATTAAATCTCAAAATGTTAATTTTACTCATAGACATTACATTTTTTGTATTCTATATATCAGTTACCACAAAACAGGGAAAACATATTTGTCTTTTTGGAACTGGCTTATTTCACTAAGCATCATGGTCTCTATTTGCATTCATTTTGTTGCAAAAGATAGAATTTAATTCTTTTTTATTCCTGAGTAGTATTCCATCAAGTATGTACCATAATTTTTGTGTCTGGTCATCAGTTGGTGGACTTCTGGGTGGGCTTCATGTCTTAGCTGTTGTGAGTTGAGCTACTATAAACATGGAGGTACAGATAACTTTCATATACTGATTTCATTTCATTTGGGTGAATTCCCAGGAGTGGAATGGCTGGTCGTATTGTAGAACTCTACAGATTTCTGAGGAATCTCCATCTTGTTTTCCATAGTAGTTGTACAAGTTTACATTCTCACCAGTGGTGTATTAATAGAGCAGCTTTTTCCCTACATTCTCAAGAGCATTTGTGATTTTTTTGATTTTTTGATGATAACCATTCTAACTGGAGTGTGGTAAAACCTCATTGTGATTTTCATTTGTGTTTCCTTCCTGGCTAGTGATCCTAAGTATCTTATATCTTTGGCCACCGGATGTAATTCATCCTTTGAAAAATGCCTGTTCATATCCTTAGCCCATCGCTTAACTGGATTGCTTGTTTTCTTGTTAAGTTTCCTGAGCTCCCTATATTCTGTATCTTACTCCTTTATTAGTTGTATAATTTGTAAATATATTCTCCCTTTCTGTAGGCTGCCCTCTTTGTTGAGTGTTTCCTTTGCTGTGAAGAACCTTCTTGGCTTGATAGAATTCTATTTGTTTTTGCTTTTTTTTTTAAATAAGATTTATTTATTTATTTGAAAGTCAAAATTAGAGGGAGAAACAGATTTTTCCATCCACTGGTTCACTCCCCAAATGGCCGCAACAGCCAGGGCTGGGCCGTGCTGGTGCCAGGAGAGAGCAGTCTTATCTGGGTCTCCATGTGGGTGCAGAGACCTGAAGACTTGGGCCATCCTCTGCTGCTTTCCCAGGTATATTAGCGGGAGTCGGATCAGAAGTGGAGCAGCTGGAGCTTAGCCGTCCCTGTGTGGAGGCCGTGGCTCCGCGTGCTGCACACCGTGCGGGCCCCTGTTTAAGCTGAAGATCAACTCCATCTTTTTTATTTGATATGACAGGCAGAGTGGACAGTGAGAGAGAGAGACAGAGAGAAAGGTCTTCCTTTGCCGTTGGTTCACCCTCCAATGGCCGCCGCGGCCAGCGCGCTGCGGCCGGCGCACCACGCTGATCCGATGCCAGGAGCCAGGAGCCAGGTGCTTTTCCTGGTCTCCCATGGGGTGCAGGGCCCAAGCACCTGGGCCATCCTCCACTGCACTCCCTGGCCACAGCAGAGGGCTGGCCTGGAAGAGGGGCAACCGGGACAGAATCCGGCGCCCCGACCGGGACTAGAACCCGGTGTGCTGGCGCCGCTAGGTGGAGGATTAGCCTAGTGAGCCGCGGCGCCGGCTGTTTAAGCTTTTTATTGCCTGTGCTTCTGGAGTCTCACCCAAGAGGTCTTTGCCTGTGCTAGTGTCTCCCAGTGTTCTTCGATGTTTTCCTCTGGTCATTTTATTATTTCAGGTCTTCGATTTAGATCTCTGACCCATTATGTGTTGATTTTTGTATAGAGCATAAGGTAGGGGTCTTGTTTCATCCAGAGATCCCATTTTCCCAACATCGTTTGTTGAAGACACCGTCCTTTTCCAGGGAGTGCTTTTAGCTTGTCTGTCAAAGATTAGTTGGTTGTAGATGCGTGGATTAGTTTCTGGGGTCTCTGGTCTGTCCCATTGGTCAGCAGTTCTATTCTTACACCATTACCAAGCTGTTTCGAT